ATGATTTCAACATCTCAATGCTTTAGAGAGGAGACCTTATTCTGGTAAACAGTTTTTCCATGCTGGAATTTACTGTGGAGGAAATTAAGTCATTCAGTTTACATCTACAGGTAGAGATCTTTCGCTTGATTTATTATATACACCTGCTCATTCTTATGACTTTCCAATAATAGTAAAGTTGGGAATCGTGTTGATCAAAATGTGCTACAAATGAAAACTTTCATACATTTTCTTTGTCTACTCTAGCTCTGCTCATTCTGTTCGTTCTCTTAGTCAATTTCACGAGGTGCTTTCTGATCTTTTTTAAACATTACTTTTAAACATACACTATTTAATGATTTTCCTTTACTGTCTTTATCAACTTTTTTACTGTCTGTAAAAACATTTATTTTAATTAACAATTTATAATAAGTCTTTAGACCTAAGTAATTTAGACTTAATGGTTTAAAAGATCCTTAGTCAAATCTGTCCAAACCTTTGACGTGTACTGTGCTGTATATAAAACAATTCAGAACACTTCCCATTCATGCATGGAAGTTTTTACACTAAAATACACACACACACACACACACACACACACACACACATACTCTTTGTGGTGTTTTGCTTTCCAAAAAAGCCACACCCCTATCTATTGCATGGCAACTGGGTTCTTGTTGGTGTTTTTAATCCCTGTAAATTGCTGCAATTCAGCGAATGAATATCTTATGCAAATATCTTTAGTTATTTTTGTTCATATTTTCTAAATAAACATATGACTGAAAAAGTGGGATAAATAGCAATTAAACAGTATATAAATATATAATTAAACAGCATATAAATAGTAATTAAAATAGTCATTTAAAATAAAAATGTAGGTCCTAAATATATTTGGCACTATATGCACTGTATTTAAAAGCTTTGCACAGAATAACCATTTATATGTTACTTTGTGTTTTTCAGCCCCTCCAGCCCAAACCCAAATATCACCATCAAGTTCTAGCTGCTCAAGTTCAAACTGCCCAAGTTGTCTATTATTGTCATATCAACACGGGCTTGTGGACAAAATAAGTATGAAAAAATTCATCTCAGGCCAGCTCTTCCACGTTTATCGGTTGAAGAATGGCCCCCCTGAAGATGTCTCTCAGAAAATTTCTGAGGCAATGGATGACAATCAAAACTATCATCTCTTAACAAATAACTGTTTGCATTTTGCACTTAAGAGTTCTGGGGGTAGGCAAATACATTTTTGTTACTTTCATAAGCGAGTATGTCCTTGATCTCGGAAAAAGTATTAAATGCAGTTGTTTCTTCTGTGCAGTTTTCACCAGGGCCCATGCCAGAAAGGTATGCTGCAATATTTCTTCATTTAACATTTAATGTTTTACTTTAGCTTATCTTATTTCTTATTATTTCTATAGTCAAAATTCTAATAATAATATATAATATATTTATAAAATATATATAAAACAATTGATTTATGATCTCTTTTGCAGCCCGCCAAAGGATACAGGTGACAACATTTTCCGTCATTTCTGTGTTGGATAAAATGTATTTAAACTCATTTTAACTTTATTATTGTGTTACAGAATTTTCTGATTGATTTGTTTTTCTCCCGGAATTTAGATGTGGAAATCAGTATGGAAGAACTCTACTCTTTTTGGTGAATTACCAGGAAAGAAAATGAAATGAAAATACTTTTATTTTGATTGTTTTGATCTCAAAAGATTTTAGAATGCGAAAAGTAATTATATAGAGCTTATGCTTGATTAAATTGAATTTAATTGAATAAAAATATTTAAATATAAGAGATTTAAGAGTGACCGTTTGTTTTGAAAACGTTCAAACATTTCATCCTAATAAGTATGCATATGGACCAGCATATATTTCAGTGTTGCCCAGGTGCTGTTGAGTTAAATGTCTGTTTTAGATTTTGATGTAATTGAATTAGATTTGATGTCATGGGAACACAAATGTAAATGAACCTACAACCTAACCATTGTTAGTGCCATTCTACAGGAAAACGGTAAAATATTCTCAGACAAGCTCATCTAGGACATCTTATGACAAAGACAGAACTGCTTATCACTCCAGCCAGTCCAATAATCAACAGTGTGACTTTGCAACTCAAGATTGTGCTGTATTTTTGAGTGAAATTGAATACTGAACAAGAAAAAAATACAGGGCGGGGCTTGATTTTGCTTGATTTGAGCTCACAGCAGACTGTGTTGTCTTGTTCAAAGCTGAGCCAACTCATTATATTTTGATTCCAGATTATGAGATCAATTTTTTAAAAATAAATAATGTGCATTGTTCACAATAACAAACATACATTAAGAACGTGAGTAGGATCAATTTAGTTTTTATCTTATGTTTTAACCAGTGATCATGGTGGTGATATATTTCACTTCAAAGGTGTTTTATTTTTGGCTTCACCTGTCTTTTTTATTACATATTAATTTGAGATGAAAAAAAAAATCTAACAATTAGTCTATAGTTAGATTAGTTTGACTTATAATTGAATAAATAGTGAAGAAAGATGAAAAATAAGTCAAGGTGTTGTTCTCTTTCTCACTATCTGGATGGAGAACATCAGCTTGTGGCAACACCCTCTGAAAACCAAGATGATGATGATGTTATATACAGTGCTTTACAGATTGTGAGTATTAAACACTAAATATTTCCTTTACCTTTTTTCATCTGCATGATGTTACAGGTCTCTGGTAGGTGAGATTTTCTCTAAAATAATACAAGAGTATTAAAAAAAGACTCAATAAAATAAAAATCAGCACCTTTATAAGGCATCCTTATGAGGAACAACGTGTTTGTCTTCATAACAGGCACCCACAAAGAGTTTAAAAGAAAAGAAAGTGATCCTTCTGATTCTGATATTGAAAGATTAAAAACATATTCTAAGAACTGAAGGACGTAAAAATGTTGTATAATAACTGCTTAATGTTGAAAAAAATAATGTTGGCTTTACACTTGCAAATGTTTTAGTGTCTCAAATCAAATCAATTATAAGCAGATATACAATGTGGTTCAAAAGATCACTAGTGCAATGCATAACGTTTCTTTTTCAATATCCTATAAAGCTTTCTGATATGTAATCATGTCTTCTCGATTGGACTTCCAAATTTTCATGCATTTTTACACAGTACCGAATTAAAAAATTATGATCAATTATACAGTTATAGCAACAGGTTAGCAGGTCACATTTTGGGCTTTATGGCACAAACGCTCATTCTGAGTGAGTCCAGCAGGAAGGAAATTTAAGCCTTTAATGGGTTTTAAATGGGTCTAATGGAGATTAATTGGTTGTGTGTGTGATGAGGTGTACCTTTAGACTACTCTTGATGAAATGTTCTGGTACAGAGTCAAACACCTTGACTGTAATTCTGCCCTGTCAAGCAGTGGTAAGTAATGAGAAGCTTGAAAATAATTTTAAAACCTGACTGGATGAGCCATGTTAAGAGCCACTGTACAAATACAAAATAGGGGAAACACACACACACACACATTTCAATTCAAAAGCACATTTATTTTTGCTGTACACTAAATGTCTTTGACGGGAGGGGCACCAAAATCTGCTGAACTAATGAAACTGATTTGTGTTTCTCTGAGTCATTCTTGTTAACAGCGCAGATGTTAGATGCTCCTACTGTCCAATCCATCATGCAATCACTCACCACCACCAGACCTTCTCATAGAACACATTCATTCACACGCAAGTCCACCCACACACAGACCCTCATTTGGTTTCACTTTTTTGATTGCAACCAGGAATGAGTGGCACGTCCACAGACACACCCGGCGAGACGCTTCAAGCCGCAGCTCGCAGGTCCTTTTATCTCAAGTGTGTGTGTGTGTGTGTGTGTGTGTTTTATATCTCCTCTCCTCTTCACCGCATCAGTGGTATTCATTGCATCCAGACACGGTCGGATTGGATCCTACCCAACCCGATGCCCCAGGAAGAGCAAAGAAAGACCAAATAGCAGCAGATTCCTGGAGTTCACATTGGTGCATCTCTGCCAGGAGATACTTTATCACTTCATAGAGATCTGACTAAAGTTTTGCTTTGTAGTGAGTCCTCTTTGCTTTCAGGTTCACGTACAGTATGTTGGCCCCAAAGGGAAAGTGTTTCATTTCCAGGTTTGCATTATTCCCGAATGTTTCCAGGGGGCAGAATCAGAGAAAATGGCTGCAGAATTCCGCAAATGTGCCAAATGGGACGTCCACATCAGAGATTTTAACCCTTCGGGCGGTGCGGTTCAGAAAAGCATGGATTTCCATACTCTGCGAGACCGCCTGGTTATTTCCGCAGTTCTCCTCATGGGAATTGTGTGGAGAATTTTTATTCTTTTGTTTTGGCTGGAATTTCAAAGCACAAACATGTGGTAGTCATTCCAGCACGGGCTCGGAAGTTCACTGTCCTAATAACGGGCAGTTAAGACAAACAAACCCCTAGAGTAATGAAAGAAACCAGCCGTCCACTTAAACTGGGGCCAAGATTCATTTCCCAGTCAGGACGGAGAATTAGTGGAGCTGACAGCCATCAGTGGTGAGTCTGAACAGGAATATGAAAGATAAATTTGAAGGAAAAACAATACGAGTATAAAAGTATATTTCCTTTGAAGAAGAAAAACGTGGCAAAATGCCCCCAAAATAAAAGTATCTAACATTGCTTACATTGTTGTCACTTGACTTAAAAACTCGACTTGTTTTATTCTGTGAGTGCTATACTAAGCTATACTGTTAACAGTTAATCAACATTTTAAAAATATTTTTGTGAAAAAAAGTCTGAAAGATGAGTTTCCAAACCATTAGCGTTCAAACTAAATAATGACGTTTCCACAGCGACCCCCTCGTTTTCCATTACTTTTCCAATACTTATTTTTTATTGGCAATATTTATTATAATTAAAAAATATTTTGTCAGTCAAGTGAAAATTTTTTAAGCCCCTGTCATCTTGCTCTATAGCTTCCTTTGTTGGTAAAGGTATTGCGCATGCGCATTGTTACTCAAGCACAGCGTTTCACCACCTGCCCCGTTTGAACAGACAGTGCCACGGCAAAAGAAATATTTTACCGAGTTTTGAGCCTACGGTCTTGAATGTGATCGGATAAAGAGACAGTTTACCGCAAAACAAAGGTAAGAAATCATGTGTATCTGTGCAAATAGGCCTAGTAGCCGTCTTGCCGATATTAGAAACATTCAACGCGATTACTGTAGTGTAGTCCGAAGTATGAATAAATGACTCTTATGAGCCGATTCTTTTAGTGAATCAAAACATACCGCACAATCAGATTAGCTCGATTTATGAACAAATGACTCGTATCATGAGCCGATTCTTGTCAATGACACAATTTACATCGCGACTAGTCTAATCCGATTCACGAATAAATGACTGTTATGAACAGGTTATTTTTAGTGATTTAAAATATACCGTACAACTAGTTTAGTCCGATTCGTGAACAAATGACTCGTATGAGCCGGTTCTTGTCAATGACTCAAAAACACACTGCGTGACTAGTGTAATTGGATTCAAGAACAAAATTCTTTTTAGTTTATCAAAAACCCACGCAACCCGTCCGATTCACGAACTAATGACTGGTATGAGCCGGTTTTTGACAATGAATTAAAAACACCTCACAACTAGCTAGATCTTTTATGGAATGATTCAAAAAGAGTCACAAGCTATATAAGTTTTCATGACTAAACAATTTCAGTGTATTACTACGAGTAGAAGTAGAACTCAAAGAACTAGGCCTAATGTCCTTTTTATTTATATAAAATGAATAATAATTCACATTACAAATCCACTGTTTCAAAGGGCTGTGAGTCAACAATTCGGATCATTACGAAGGACCAGATGATTTGAGTAGTGTGCGCAGTATGCCATTTTGAACATACCCCAATCCATCATAATGCATATATGTGAGAGAATAATATTTACACAGAACATAAGGATTTTTCTTAACAAGAATGCTTTTGTGAGAGGATATAGAGACATCAGTCCAGCTACAGGAGGCCAAAGACAATGAGTGAACTGATATGCTTACATGCAAAAACGGATTGCTCTGGGATGTTTTGAAGCCTGTCATTAACAGCTGTATGCCATGATCATGCTTCCAGATGGAGACATTTGGCATCAGATCAGCTCTAAAGAGAGAAAGACAGACAAAAACACACTCTCAAGATCCACACACTTACATACATACGAAAATCGCTTAGTTACGACAAGGTTGTCCAAACCCTAAAGTTATTCTCTCTCAGCAGTGGTCTCCAACTCCGCCATTAAAATTCCTCGAGCCGCTTCGGAGCAGTTCCTCTTCCACAGTGACCACGAGTAGCCCCACTTTCTCTAGCTGTGACGTCAAGGGAAGTGGGACAGAGGATTTCTGGGTAAAGGGAGAGGTGCCTGAACCACCGTGGTATTTACACGCTCACACGTCCAGCTCTTGTCTCGCACACACATGAGAAGATGTCCACAAAACACAGCCCTGTGTGTGTTTCAGTTGGAAGAACTGAGTTTGGATTTTGAAGTCGGAGTTCTGGTCCGAGTCTCTGGTTCATGATTCTTTTTGGAGTGTCTCTAAACACAAAGTTTAACATGTTCTTGCAGTCTCATGTGCTCTTGGGAGACGCTGCAGGGACACACCACAGAGTTTCTGAATTACTCTAGCCCTCTGTCTTTGTTTTGACATTAAGGAAATAGTTCATCCAAAAAATGAAAGTTATGAAATCATTTACTCACACTCATGTTGTTCCAAAGTTGTGTGTCTTTGTTTTGTTTGTGGAGCACAAAAGGAGTTTTGAAGAATATTTACAGTTCTTTTCCATAAGACTGTCAACTCCAAAAAGTATAGTCCATATATACTATATACTCAAAATATTTATTGTGGATACTTCTATTCAGTAAGGACGGATTAAAATGATCAAAAGTGACTGTAAAGACATTTATAAAATTACAAAAGATTTCTATTTCAAATAATTGCTGCTTTTTTAAATTTTCTAATAATCAAAAAATCCTGAAAATATAAACGTATCACAGTTCCCACAAAAATATTAAACTAAACTAAACATTGATAATAATAAGAGATTTCTTGAGAAGCAAATCCGCAAATCAGAATGATTTCTGAAGGATCATGTGACACTGAAGACTGAAGTAATGGCTGCTGAAAATTCAGCTTTGCATCACAGAAAAAAATTTCATTTTAAAATATATTCAAATAGAAAGCAGTTATTTTAAACTGTAAAAATATTTCACAATATTACAGTTTTTACTGTATTTTTGATCAAATAAATACCAATAAGACACCAATAAGACTCTTTTTTTATTTATTTCAAAAACATAAAAAAATCTTACAGACCCCAAACTTTTGAATGGTATGCATTATATATATATAAATATATGTGAATTTTAAGTTATTATTCACTGAAAATCATGCCTGTATCCCTTATTCTCTCTTCCATATATTCAAATTTATGCATGGACATGAGTTGCAGATGTTTTGAAATGATATCAAATGCTATTGGTTCTCTTGGTCTAGATGCAAATGAGATTTGATTTATGGTGGATAAGGACTTACGTTTCACTATTTTCATAATTTCAAGGTAGTGTAAAGCTTCAGACCTTCTCAGAATTGAAAGATATGGCGTAGGTTTATGGTACTTTTTTTTAGCTTGACAACACCTGGTTGCTATATTTCATTGTATAGACAAAAGTAGTCTCGACGGTCCTTCCCCAGAACCCTAAAACACACAAGATACGGGGCGATGGTGATGGATTTCCACAACATAAAGAGATGGAAATTTTGGCAGTCTTGAGCAATCAGTTAAAGTCTCTTCTTATCTGTGCTTCACCGTCCAGACTGCGAATGTCAGTCAGCCACTTTAAAGTCAAATCAATGCCTGGAGCCAAGTTAGTGAACTACAGCCTCAACCACAGTGTTTCAAACACACTAATGGACGCTCATTCATTTGTCTGATGCCAAATCGTCAAGTACATCCTTTGGTACAGTCTGTTTCTCCATTGTTAATTTTGCTTTAACGTTTGGCACATTCTTGGCAAGACTCATTCTCAAAGATAAATGTTTCATACACTATGGCTGCATCCCAATTTGCATACTTCTGCTATGGGCTACGATATATTTTGCTAGTTTGCATGATGTAGCAACTAAAAAAAATGAAAAGGGGAAAAATAAAAATTAAAAAGGGAACTGACACAAAGTTATATTTATATATAATTATAATGGTCACACTTTATTTTAAGGTCCAATTATCGGCATTAACAAACCATTAACTACGACTTTTGCCTCAATAAACTCCTAATTTGCTGCATATTAATAGTAAGGTAGTTAAGTTTAGGTATTGGGTAGGATTAGGGATTTAGAATATGGTCATGCAGAATATGTGCTTTATAAACTGCCAGTATGTTAATAATAGGCATGCTAATAAGCAACTAGTTAATAGTGAGAACTGGTCCCTGTACTTAAGTGTTACCATTATTATAATATTTTATATATTAATAAATTTACTGTATAATATGTACATATGTATGTATATATCAAATGTAATATTTCGCATGTTTTCTGTCTGCTTCTTGACACCACATACAGGACTGTAGTTTGTATACAAATTTTTTTAAAATATATATTAATGTATATGACAAATGGCTGCAATATAACAAAGAGTGAAAAATTTAAGGGGGTCTGAATACTTTCCGTACCCACTATATACATATACACAAACACACACATTTTCCATCTGCTTTTTGTCATCACAGGACTTTATTCAGTTTGAAGCTTCATTGAGTTTTTCTCATAAATACATTGTCCTCATCCATATGCATGCAGTTTTTCCCCGTGTCGACTATGAATTCTCCTCCTTCGATTGACTGGGGATTTCTTTTTAAAAAGCCTCTGGAGGGAGGGTTCGCCGGTTTCCCGAATTTGAAACATTTGAAGTATCCGAGGTTCTTGGACTGAATGTGGTCTGGTTTAAAGGAATCGCCGGTTGGCTCATGCCTTTCAGTTTCTAATGACTCACAGATGGGCTCTGCTGGACCCCATTGGGCCACTCAAACTGGGACACCCTACGACCCATTAGCTTCTCGATCTCATTGTGTAATTTACTCAGACTGGTGAACAAAGCCTATTATGTCCTCTAATACAGAACATTGTATTGGATGGCTATAATCTCAAACTAATTTTGGTTATGTTTGAAACGTAATACCAGCCGCCGCCTTACTATTTTTTATCTAAAATAATAGTATGTGAAACAATACGTATTACAGTGATAAACATTTGAATACAAGTTTCTCATATGATCTCATTTTAATTCTGTGAGTTGCATCCAGTTTCAAATTTTTTATTAATTGTAGACATGTCTTAATCTGTCAGATCACATATTTTTCTTTAAGATTAGATGTAAAATCACAGCTGATATTGTGGTTTATACATTTATTTTTTTTATTACTGTTTGAATGAAATACAAAACAATGTCGTTCATATATCATACTGTAAATCAAAGGTGAAGTCAAGTGCATTGCATTGCACTTTGAGATACAGTATCCAGCAAAATATGCATGTACTACTTCTGCATATAACAATATGGAAGAAATAGTAATAATAAAATGTGTGTAGAATGTTGTATTCCACAATGCAATGCACTTAGCTTGACCTTTTGTTTCTTGTGTCATGGATGAACCAGAAGTAGTATCACTTGTGCTTTTTAATGTCTCATTATCTGATTAGATGGTGAAATGCTAACACTTTTTTTTTTACACAAAATCAATTTATAAATGAAAAATAGCCAGAAATGACTCTGAATAAAATGTGTTACATGAAGTCAAACAGTAGGGTCATGTGACGACAGTGTTACCATTTGAAACCGTATCAATTTTGAGATAATTCCTACTCTTTCACTTACTATTTTTTAAAGATAGTTGTATTCAGTATTCATTAAGTAGTTGGTTAGTATTCAATTCAAAACAATGCATTGTTTTTAGAGATTCAAGCTCTAGCTAGTTAGTCCAGTTAGCCCCTGCTGGTAGATGCTGAAATTACACAATGTTTCTCCATTGACAGATCCAACTAATAAAGTCCTTCAGGCTTATTCGAACTACATTGTACTGTGTATGTGTGATGGAGCAGGGTTGAAGCAAAACTCTGCAGGGCTCCGGCCTTCCACGAATTGAGTTTGACACCCCTGCCCTATCTTTCGTAATTTGGAGACGCTAAAAGTTTTCGGCTGCAATGCAATTAATGTAAACACAACAGCGTTCAACGGCTTCTTGCGACTTGACAAGCGACTGTAGTCGAGAGACATATTGGTTGTCAGAAGACACTTTATCATCATAAAGTACGTGAAACAGCAGACATTATTCGTGGTGTGTAGCGGTTTAAATGGCAAACATGTTTTAAAGCTACCATTAGCATCATTAATGGATGGTCATAAATAGTTTTTGTAATGTCACGCTAAGATCAAACAATCCCTGAGCGGGTATAAAACAAATTGGTGCTGTTGATTCAAAATAACAATCTGAAATCACTAGAGCTTTTATTGCTTGTAAATCTGTGATTGTGACGTGAACTGACTGCACTTACAGACGGCTCCTGTTTCACTAATGAGATGAGACTCCATCTCTATTATGGACTAAAAGTTATTTTTGACTGTGTGTGGAATTGAATATTAGCTTTAAAAAAAAGTAGTTTATTGCTCATATGTTTCTATTTTATAGCTCGCAAGACTTCAGTCGTGATTTATTTACAGTATCAATTTTATCTCAAATGTTTCTCCTTAAATTCCTTAGAATAATTGAAAACTTTTAAATGAGAGAATGTTCCTATATAGTAAAATTACTATGAAATGAATGTGGATAGCAGCTCAGATCATTTGGTTGAACTTGTCTTTTGGTTGTGATTGTGATTGCAGACTTGCAATTTTGAACCTATTATTTAATTCATTTTTGGATAAAAAAATCTGAGAAGCGGAATACTTCAATTGGCTGTCCTTATAATCTCATTGGTGTCTAGGAGTTAATTGAGATATTCCATTTGTGATTCCATTCTTTACAATGGGTGCCATGTAGGCCTAGTTTTAAAAAATAATATGCAAAAGACTATTTACAGTATGCAATGATGGATATTTCAAATTGTAGAATGCTACATTGTCAAATGACCTCATTATTTTAGGGATATTTAATACATAAAAATGACAAAATGTCATATATGTCATATGGTACTTTTTTGAGTTTGGCAGTATAATTCACCAATTTTGATGTGTAGAAAAGAGCAGCTAGGACATTCTGTGTAACATCTTTTTATGTGTTTTACAGAAAAAAAATGAGGTTGGACAGACATGCAGGTGAGTACATAATGAGAAAATTGTTGTATTTGGGTGATCTGCTCCTTTAATTCAACATATGTCTTTTATTTTTAATCTTGGACATTTTTAATCTTAAAAAATTGTTTGAAAAAAAAGTATTTTTTATAATGTATATTATATTTTCTTTCTTTTTTATTGAGAATTTGTTGTTGTTTTTTTTGCACCATGATTTTAGTTTATATTCTCTAAATCCATTTTAGATTTACATCTGCCTCTTCATTTTAATTTACTGCTTATTTTACTACTACTTTTCTACTTGTGCAATATCATAATTTTTTTGTGTTGTTACTGTAACTGTATTACTTAATTTTTTTATAGCAATAAAACATTAAATTAAATAAAATGCCTTTCTGGCAGATCGATCAAACAATGGGTCTTCAAGGACGTCTTGATGTGTTGATCCAGGTGTACTGTAAGTGATTTGCATGCCGTTTTAAAATGCTTTAATGCATCACATGTTCTGTTGAATCATCACCAGGTGTGTTTTACTCTAGTTTGCGTGTTTCTCTGCAGGTGTTGCGGTGGAATTCACATCTCCGTCTTCACTCTCATTTATGAGACCCCCATAAATCCAAGCGTGTTTATCATTTCCATCCAATCAGGAGACACATTTATGAACAGGTAAGAACAGGGCAGAAACTCCTCACAGGTGTACAGTCAGAAAGAGGGCAAAGGGTCGAGGGAGGAAACGCAGAATCAGGACCACATGTAGACGCAGTCATCACGGCGGATCAAAGCCCGCCAAACTCACAGTCAAGATCAAAAGGGGCCGGGTTACGCTCGCGTGAGCCCTACAGGGGTTGAGGTGGACTGGACCGCATTAGACATCTGAGCCGAGAGGCTCCATAACTAACAAGAAAGCAAAATAGAGGAACGGGGCGATTCAGTTAGACAGTGGTACCACCAAAAGACTTTAGTTAGACTAAAGGAATAGTTCACCCATGAATGGAAAATGTTCATCATTTACACACCCCTATGTTGTTCCAATCCTGTACGACTGAATTAAAAACACAAGGAAATGTTCCAGCAGAATATATGAGCTGTACTGTGCCATACAACTAAAATGCATGGTGATTTATACTACAAAGCTCCAAAAAAAGCACCATAAAAGTAGTCCAAACATCTCATAGACTATACTCAAAGTCATCTGAAGCCATATGATGGTTTTACAAGAGGAACTGACCAATAATTAAGTTGCTATTCACTGATAATCTTTCACTTTGCTGTAGCCCTCAGATATCATATGCATTGGTCTTTAGGGTCATTGCTTTTAAACCTGGTGCAGCGTGCTGAAAGGCACCATTTATAATTGAACATACTGTAAGTGCAAATGAGTTGTTGAGGATTTGTATTAACTAAAGCTTACATTTTAGCCTGTTCCTCTTACAAAACAATCATATGGAGTAATTTTGTGTTATGTGCATGGTCTTTTTTTTGGAGCTTGGAAGTATAAATCACCTTCAGAAAGAGCAAAGTGCAAGGCATCTTATTCCTAATGAATATATTTGTCTTATTTTCCAGATTAACTTTTTATGCTCTAAAAAAAGGAAAAAGATCTGCCAGTGCAGTAAGACAAACTATACTTGCATATACTTGCATCAAATCTTGCTTCTCAAGTACATCTATCTTGTTGGACTGAAAACAAGGCAAAAAAACCCGACTAAAAGTCAATGACTAGTCTTGTTTTTCTTGCATTTTTGGTTGGACTATTACTTTAATTGAATGCAAATAAACACGAGGCTGTGAGGGATGGAAGTACAGTTCATTCAATTTGTTGTAAAAAGTTTTTCACCCTGAACATTTGTGGAAATAAATCTTTTCAATGTCTTTCAGGTACCAAACAGTTTCCTCACAGACTTTGCTTCAGAATTAAATATGGCACCCTCTAACTAACATCTATTAAACTGCTGCACTATGTGCATGAGTGAACAACAGTAGAAGCGTGATTTCTGTGATTTTATTACGACTTCACACCTCACAAACCACAGATTCACACGCAGGAATGTGCTCAGGTGGGCTGGAATTCAAGAATCAACACTTCACGTTCTAGAAATAACATCCGTGAACAAAAGAAAACCAAACCACAGTAACCCGAGAGGCCTGTTATTGGAGACGCAAAACTTCAACAAGTCAAAACCATCAAGTACAACAACAAGAACACCCTTTAAATATTTATTATCTTGAGTTCTCTTGTTTAGATGGAGGCCTAATTAAATTTAAAAGGTCTATTTTCCCATCACAAAATGAAGTAGACAGCTGTAATTACCACACTGTTTCTCTGTACACACCTCGTAAATGTTGTTTCGCACTGCTGGTTCTTTTTGTTTGTATTATTTGTGGTTGGTCTTTTATAAAGTGATGATTAGATTGTTTGGAATACTCAAGCATGAGCTTAACGATATATGGATGACTTTTCACGTTGGATGTTTTAAATGAATTAAAACTTGCACGTTTGCCATAAATCAGTTGAATACCCGTGGAAGGTTTAAACAGAACAGGCAGTGTGCTGTAGTCTAGGACAAAACGAGACTTTGTGTAGCCTTTTTTTGCAAAGAAAGTGCCAGAGCTGTAATGCAGTCCAGACGCTCTCTTTTTATTTCTTCTCCTCCCTCTGTCCTGCGTCGTTACTGACCAGCTTCAAACTTCTCCATTTCTAACAACAATAAATGGCTGCCACTCAGACGGTCCTGATCTTCCATTCCAGCCCACCCAAAATCTCAGACCTGGCTGTGAACTTGACCCTGACAGCGCGGCAGAGTCTTCCCCAGACCCATGCTGAGATTGAGGTGCTGTTGTTTGACGTGGTTGTGTAAGTGAGATATTTAGACCTCGCTCTCTAGAGAGAATGAGGTACAGATGGGTGACAGAAATGAGGTGAAGTGTGTTTATTCATACGTGCATGTGTTAGTGGGAACATTTTTGCCATTTTGTCACATGCACTGCTGGAAAATTCAACTAGAAACTACTTCTTGTGATACATTGTGGTTTATATGGTTTCTAGCTGCTCATTTATAGCATTAGTTAGTCCAAACTGGTCTTGATGATTGATCAGCTTGACTACCAGCTGGTTGACCTGGTAGACCACCTTGGACCAGCAACAAACCAGATTAAGAAAAAAACATTTTCAAGGTCTATCAACCATTTTGACCTTTGTAACAGATATAATTTCAGGCAGATATGTTCTATGCCGGTGATATATGGTCATTAGCTAATCCAGATTTGTCAAGAGAGGGATCATCGGTAGGACTCCACCTAGTAGACCATCTTAGTCAAGTTGGTTAGAACTTATAGACCACCTTGGACTAGCAACAAACCAGTTACTATGTTCTAAAAACCAGTTTGACCACTGTTTAGACTGTTTTTTCCCACCTAGTTTCAATTATAAGGCAAAGATCCAAGCTGGTCTAGATGATTGATCAACTGGTCTCAAAGCTGAGGGATTTGGTTTCACCCTGCAGATTATCTTAGATAAACAGACTTGGTGGACTATCTTGGACTACTTACCAACCAGCTTGACCAGCTAAAACTGGTATGGCCTGGTTTGCTCATTTCTAAGGCAAAGATCTGCTGGAAAACCATGTGATGTTTGAAGGACAGTGTGTTTAGCTGTTGTCTCCACTAAATGATGGAGAAGAAAAAAATGTTCAACCAAAACAAACTGACGTGTCGGACAAAGAAATTGTAAAACACGTTTCAGAGACAAGTTTGTTCTTACGCTTGTCAAACTGTACCTGTTCTCCAAAGAACAGTAGAAGAACTTTGTGTCTGGAATGCAGGGAAGCATTTCTCTCCCTCTTTCCTCTCCCAGGGACGGAGTTTGATCTAAAATTAGGTTTATTTAAGGGTTTGAGATCTTGGCCAAAAGTGCTCTGACATTAATTCGAAACAGCTCAGCCCAGGTGGGGGGGGGGGTGAAGAGGGGCCCGCGGTCTGTAAATAAAAGCCAGTCCATTTTTATCATCTTGGCCTTTTGGAGAGTCTTAGATTGACATTCCTCCCTGCTTGAGCCTGATGCTCCTGCCTGACATCATTAAAGAGGAATGCACTCTCTACGTTCTCTGTTTCAGTCCCTCCATTTCATGTTTTAATTCCCCTCTTTCCCGAATGCCAATCTAGCTGTGCTTTCATCATGTGAGCAAGGAAGTTCAGACATGAGGTGAGTATGAACACCCCCATTCATCGGGACCGAAGCCTGGCACACACTCAGGAAGCTCAGGCTGTTTTTTGGATCTGTGGTACCTGCAGACGCTGTAACTGTCAAGATTTTCACTGACCTACTTTCTGCCAGTGGTGAATATGAGTTATTAGAGGCGCCCGGGGGGCTGAATTTTTCCCTGGACGTATGCAGGGCTCGCCTTTCCCCTCTCGTGCTCAGCACCGCCTTTGTCTCTGCAGAGAATTATATAAATCAGCTAACGGCTGTGAGGGAAGAATGAAGCTCTGTAGAGTTTCGGAGGGGGTGTGGAGCAGAGCTGCTGAATCCAGTGGTTTCAGTGTCTGTGGATTAATATCTTCCTGCTGATAGGGGAGCCATGCTTTATTTGAACGTTCAGATCCTTCTCAAGTCCACTACAAATAGATGAGTTCTTCAAGAGCACATTTAGGGATGGTGTTGGACACAGATAAAGCATTGTGCTGGACAAACAAGGACTTTAAGGGGTAGTTCATCCTAAAACTAACGTTCTGTCATCATTTATTCACCTTATGTCATTCCAAATCCATTTGACTTTCTTTCTTCCACAGAACACAAAAAACAGACATTAGGTAGAATGTTCACACTGCTCTTTTCCAAATAATGAAAGTGAATGGGACCAATTTTTTAAGACGACTTTTTTTGTCATATAACTTCAGTCTAGACATGCTTAGACCTGAACCTACATAGTGTATGGTGAGTCATTTACATGAAGTAAATATTGACCCACTCACTAGTTAACTACTTTTCTGGGTGACTAGTAAACTTGAACTTGTACACAAAGTACCAGATAAGCTCAGTAATGACGACTCGGTTCCACATACGGAACTCGTAGTATAAAAGTAGATGAGCCCTTCTGATCTCCTGCAGTTCTTCCCAATAAAACACATCAGAATTGCATAACCTTTTCACACTGGTGTGTAGCTCCTCGCTTATTGTCTTTCCAGTGCATGATACATCATGGGAACAGCCTCTAGAGATTGTAAGATCTGCAAAACAGACTCGTCCACATGTACGTGCAATGACATAAACTCGGCCTGTGCAGCATTTAGTGAGGGAGGACAGACATTCACAAAAAGGTGTTTGTCCTCATGGGGGATTAGGATGCTTTTATTGTATTTTACAAAGGAGGCTTAAAGAGAGCAACCGGACATGCCCAGGCATGCAGTGAGTGTTCATTACATGTTTTCAGCATGTAAACCTCTATTACTTAAGAGGGGTCGCATACATTCTTACAGAGTGATTCACATGTTCTGGGACATTACAACACAAGAGCATTAGCAGCCTCTTAAAACATCTTAAGGTGAACCCACATGTAGACCTGCAGCTGTGGATGGAGGATGTTCGTTTTGGAACAGGTGTGGATGCACAAGACACCAGAGGGCATGTTCCCATAGTGACCAATGAGTAGTCAAAATAATGATAGGAAATGAGATGTGTGATCACTGGCAGAATAGAACACCAAATCACGTAACTCTTTACACATGCACGCACACTTGTTGATGATTTCTTGGCAGTACATTAACTGCTACTTGTGTTTGCTTCATCTTATTCTCAGAAGTACACACTCAACCATTCAAAACAAAAATACAGCAAAACAGAAGTGTTAAGTAGTCTTTTTGCAGACACCTTTATCCAAATCATCTTATTCTATATTATATTCAACTCAGAAAGTCTGAGTTTTCAACTTCCCATTTGGAAAAGTACAACCATTGGAAAGTAGATTTCCAACTTTGAAACCTGGAACGCCAATTCCGCAGGTGTATGTCATTGACTTGGAAATCTGGAACTCCTTCAATTCCGCAGATCTATGACATCACATGCACATGGCAGCCTCCATTAAAATGTACCCTGCTAAAGTTCATACTTGCATGATATCTGTTCAACAAATGTTTGCAGAGAATTGTGTGTAAAACAAAGTAAGTTTCTAGCATTGCATATTGTTATTTATCCTCCACAAGTTGGAGTTCTTTCTTGGCTCAAAGGTAGAGGTAGCACTGTTTTTTTTTTTTTTGGTCTTCCTGGCACCTGGCAATGGAACAGAGATATCAAGTAGGAATATCCTGTATCTGACATTGAATGCATTATTAGAGCAGCAGTTCCCCTGGAGCAGTCTGGGGTTAAGTGTCTTTTTCAAGGCACAACTGTGTTCAAACCAGCAACTTTGAGCCTTAGCTGCTAAACCACTCCATGAGTGTCACCTGAAAGCATTGTTTACATTAACTCTGCATTTTCAAAGTGATTTTCCTGTTTTGTAAGATTTGGAGTGACTGAATCAACCCTCTGACTTCAAATCAAACTTTACCCAAGGTGCATCATAAAAATCTCACAGACATCTGCGTCTGATGGAACGCAAAACCACCCAACAATCACACCACAGTTATACGGGAGCCAATCTCCTGAGGGCATTTGGGTTTGTCTGCCCCGTTTCCAGTACAGCAGTGTCAGATGCATGTTGAAAGCAGTGGCATGCGGTTTCTGTGCTGTCCCAGTCGTAGCTTTGAAATACCAGCCCCACCGCAGGCTATTTTAGGGCCAGCCACAATCATGCTCGCTCGCTGCCCAGATACTGTCGTTCTCCTGGGGCCCGTGTCTCAGCGCTGGTCCTCTTTGTATCCCCGAAATTGCAAAGTGGTGAGCCAATGGCATCATGAGTGTCCATCAGCGGGCTTTGGCACAGTGCAGACTCTAGAGGGTCCACGTGTTGAAGGATCCGGAGGTCGAGGCATATCCTC